CAACGAAAGGTCGCACGGCAGGTGTTAGGATAAAATAACTCAGTCGACATTTGGATTCCAACCCCACAAGTGCCTCGTTCGGCCACATCACTACATTGGTGGAGAATGCCGGTAGAAAGTGACCCCGCGCAAACCGTGACGTGGGTGAACGAGTTCAACCAACTGGGCAAGGATGACAAGGAGTCTGCCGCGGGCCGTCGACTGCTCGAAAACGTCTGGCAAGGTACAGACGCCGCCGCGGACCACGCGTTTCGTCTTCTCCTCAAGAAGCTCTGCCCGGCTGGTGAAGACGGAAAAAAGGAAGAAACCATCATCCCGAGCCCCAAGATGCTTGAAGACTACACCTCCCGAGCGGCGCTCACGACGGCCATGCTCATCGCGGACTCATGGGTCGCCGCGGCGGACAAGCCATCGCAGCAGGACACCTACGAGGAGTTCTATACCCGAGCCGATATGTACGTCGCGTCGTTCGTCGGTCCCCCGGCTGGACCGCCGGCGCTCGGCCTCCTTGAGACGACCCTGCTCCCGAACGCGCTCTCGAGGTTCCTGAACGGCCGGACCAAGTTCTCTGACTGGGGCGTGACGACGAAACTCATCATGGGTCTCCACGGCCCTACGCTCGAGGAGGACCCAGAAGACGATGAAGACAGCCTTTTCTCCATCAACAACGAGCCCGACGAAGCGCGCGTAGAGAAGGGTGTACGGGTGCTCTTACGACGCGGCTCGAAACACCTCACGTCGCCCTACGTGTCAGCGGCGGCCGTCGACATGGCTCGGATTGAAGCGCGTATGGCAGAGTCCCAGCTCAAGATGGAGCTGCGTCTGGAGGCGGCACAACGGAAACGGGAGGACGAGCTCCGGAAGGAGATCCGGGCGGAGCGACAAAACGACCAAGACCACCGCATGATCGACGCCGTGTCGCAAGAACAACGTATCGCGGACCTCACGATCAAGACGAACGACATCCTCATCAACGCGCAGTCCAAGCCGACGCCTGAAGCCAAGGAGCAACATCGGTCGCTCAAGATTCCCAAGTTCGACTCGAGCAAGGAAGGCACGGCCGGCGACTTCATTCGTGGCGTCGAAGGGGCTGCTGAAGTCACCTCGCAGCTCCCCACGGCCAAACTCGTCGTACTCTACCGGTCGCTCGGACAACGGGAGTTCTCGTGGACCACGCGATACGTGGGCAACCATGGATGGACGGCGTCGAAGCTCACGGACGCAAACTGGAAGGAGCTCCGCGCCGCGTTCATCGAGCAGTACTCTGGCGCTCTCGTGACCCGCATCATGCAATACGAGAATGTACAGCAACGAAAGGCGCCAGCCGGCGGCCTTGAGCCAATGCGCTCATACCTCGACCGAGTCCAAATGCTTGCGCTCGAGGCCGGTCAAGGAAGCAACGAGAACAGCGTGGTCATGCGGGCGCTCATGGGCATGATGGACAACGCGACCCGAACGGCACTCTCGACGCAAGTCAACTCGGCAATGACATGGGAGTCATTTGTGCGGGTCGCCACGCAAGCAGCGGACGTCATCCACATGAAGAGTCGTCGAGCGCCAGCGATGGTGCAGGCGGTCGAAGAAGACCCCGACGAGCAAGACCCGAGCGAGGTGATGGCCGTCGGTGATGGCAAGAAGACGTGGAAGTGCAACCTCTGCGGTGTCCCGGGCCATTTCCGCGCACAATGCCCACAGAACGACGACAACCCGGGGACAGGGTGCCTCCTGCACGGACCAAATGTGCTGCATACGACAGACCAGTGCAATCACATGAAGTCCATGGCCAAGAAGATGCAAATGGCGCGGAAGGCGGCTCTAGCTCAACAACAGGCCCCCCAAGATGCGGTTCCCGCGGCGACCGAGACCGACGCACCGCCGGCGGATTTTCAGTCCGACCAACCATAGCGGCGGGGTTGGTCGAGACGGCAGCCGCACGCCGAGGTCCCAAGCGACCAAGGAAGCGCGCGTGGAAGAAGAAGAAGAAGGAAGAACACAAACAAGAACAACAACAAGAACAAGAACAACAAGAACAACAACAAGAACAAGAACAACAAGAACAACAACAAGAACAAGAACAAGAACAAGTACAAGTACAAGAACAAATAATGAACAACGCTGCCGTCTCCAGTTCAGTGTCTCCTGCTGCCCAAGTGGTGGAGGACGTTTGCGACGATGACACCAGCACAGCGACGGACGTGGCGGCCCCCATTCGGTCGGCGCCGTCGACTCTGCATGCTGGTTGCGACGAGAACATACCAGAAGACGGCGACACGGACGTCCAAATGCGGCACGACAGAGGCAACACTCCTGGTGGTCTAGCCCTCCCCAGCTGGATCACCGGGTGTCTCCCGGTTGAAGCCGTGAACGAAGAAGACGCACCGCCGACGTCCGGCAACACGACTAACAACGAGGTTACGTCGTTCAAGGGTGTCGATGTGTGGCGTCGCCTGCTGCGCCTCAAGCTCCACGCCGGCCAGCAGAAGCGACGTCAACTGTCGAGCGCGAGCCTCGCTGCAGCTCGCCGTGGATGGACCGGTCTGTCACCATGGGCACGACGGGCGACTAACCGGAAGCTAAGTCGATGCGTTACCACAGGCACGACGGCAGAAGACCCGCTCGGTACTGGTTGCCGGCGTCTCCTCGTAAACCCTCGACTCGACGCCGTGGGTAGCAGCGTCACCAAGTGGGCCCCACACTACAAACGATGGGAACGTGGGACGCAGACGGCGCTACGAGCGGCCAGCCGTGAAGACCACTGCTCCATCGAGCATGTGCACGCCAGCCGCATGGCGCTCATGCGAGCAGGGCACAGTCGCGTGATGGTGTCCATCGAGAGCAACGAGCGACGGCTCCAGGTCTTGTTCGACACGGGAGCCATGGTCTCGCTGTTATCACGAGCAGCGTGGAAGACCTTGGGCAAACCCACGGTCCGGCCGTTCAACCGCAGCCTGCGAGGAGCGAACGGGGCGGCGATCGCCGTACACGGCTGCTGTGATGTGAAGCTTTCATTTGACGGCTCAGACATGGTCCACACCTTCGTCATCTGCGACGGCCTCAACCACACTGGTATTCTCGGCATGGACTTCATCTTCACCCACGGCATCTCGATGATCGTACTTGAGGACCAGGTCCGTCTCGTCCGCGCTGATGCTCTCGACGCTCGGCTGCGTGACATTGCCGCTCGGGCGATGGTATGCGCCGACATCCAAGAGGCGGGCAGCATGGATCCGCTTCTCGACACGCTCATTGCGTCATTTGCGTCGCTCTTTGCAAAAAAGGGGGAGCGGGTGCGGCAGACAACGAAGCACGAGCACCGTGTCGAGGTGTCGGGCATGCCCATCAAGATCGGGTTCTACCCGCTCGGGCCGCAGAAGCGTGCTGTCATGCGCCAAATCGTCATGCAGATGGTACGGGACGGGCTGGCCATTGAGGTGAGCGACAGCGAGTGGGCCACCCCCGCTTTCCTGCGCCCAAAAGGCAAAGGCGGCGATCCGGACGACCCGAACAACTGGCGCCTAGTGAACGACCTACGTGCGATCAATGCACGCACGCGAGTGGTCTCAGCTCCGCTACCCCGCATCGACGACATCCTCGACCGCGTGGCCGCCTCCGTATGGTTCACGGCCTTGGATCTGGCGTCGTCGTTTTGGCAAGTCCGATACGCCGCTGGGCATGGGGCCAAGTTTGCTTTTGTCACGGAAGACGGGACGTTTGAACCGACGGGCATGCTCATGGGCGCTGTGAACTCAGCCGGTGCTATGCAGGCCTACATGGTCGAGACGCTCAAGGAATACATCGGCATCTTTGTCGAAATTTACATCGACGACATCCTTATTCACTCCAAGTCGTACGACGAACATCTGCACCACGTCGAGCTCGTCCTCATGAAGATGCGTGAGCACGGATGGACTCTGCGCAAGGAGAAGTGCGAGTGGGCCAAGACGTCTATCAACTACCTCGGCCACCGACTCGAAGGCAACGGGGTCATAACCCCTCTCGACCGAAACGTCAAGAACATGGCCGATGCTCCCAAAATCGACGGCATCGACGCGCTACGTGAGTTCCTTGGACGGGCTGGATATTACCGCCGCTTCATCCCCGGTTTTGCTAACAAGACGGCACCGCTGTACCGCCTGCTCGAAGCCAAGGTGGCATTTTACATGGACGACGATGCACACGATGCCGTGGCCAGCCTCGTGAAGGAGTTGAACACGCTACCGCGGGCCCACGCTCCCGTCGAGGGTGTGCCATTCAACATTACGGTCGGCTCCGATTTCTCGTCAGTGGCCTGCGTTCTCTCTCAGACCGTCGGCGGCATCGAGCGGCCCGTGGCGTTTGCTAGCACACGTCTCGTCGCGAGTGAGCTGCGCTACGCCAATGTGGAGAAGACCATGGTCGCACTGCGTCTTGCGGTACGGAAGTGGCGGCATGTCTTCGAGGGCAAGCAGGTGACCGTTTTCTCATGGGACCCGAACCTCCGGTGGGCCATCGACAAGCTGGGTCAACTCGGACGACGCGAGAAGTGGCAGATCGAGTTCTGGGCCCTCCGACTGGATGTACAAATGGCACGGCAGCGGCAAACATACCCGGTCGAGCTGCTTCTGGGCCGAACACCAAGACTCGAACCGACCGTGGTGACACGCGCGCCGACCTTCCGTTGGCCGCCGATGGGCCCAAACGCAGCCATTCTGGCGAGCGACGGGGCCAACCGCGGTGGTGTTGTGAGTGGCTTTGGTTTCTGTATCTGGGACAACACGGGCACTCACCTCATCGCTGTCGGTGGCGCTGCCGGGCCCGGCCACGAGACTGTCAACCTCCAAGAAGCCCGAGGTCTCGAGGAAGGCCTGCGGCGAGCCGACCAGCTGGGCAAACGAACCGTCGTCGCCTTCGTCGACTCGGAGTTACTTGAACGACTGGTGCACCGAGTCTACGCCGTCAAGAATGAAGAAGTCCGCAAGAGGCTCACGGCCATTTGGCAGCTGCTTGGGCAGTTTGACGCGTGGGTCGTCCAGCACGTCCCGCGCGAGAAGAACGAGGTGGCAGACTACGTGGCCAACCAAGTGATGGACAACGCCACTGACGATGAAGGCGAGACCGGCATCCGGACTGGCAACGGCGTGGGAATCGAAGACGTGTCAACGTGGGCAGCTACGACAGCGGCCTCGTTGCCTTGGGAAGGGCAAGTACCATACGAAGACCAAGTACAGGACGCCACTGACGACGATGACATGGACGCAGCGGCAGTCACCTCGATCAACGTCGACCCGATGATGATGGCAAGGGCGGCACGCATCCGTGCCGGTCAACTGACTGTACCATGGATGCGGTCGGCCATTGAGACCATCGAGAACGCCGAACATGCACCGCCACGTCGCTCGCCAGGACGAGACGTGTACGAACATGCGGTCGTGGATGGCGTCCTCTGTCGAATCGTACACAAGGAAGCACATCGACGTGGGCACGGGCCGGCCCGGCCTCTAGTGGTCATTCCACTCTCGCTTCGAACTCAGCTTATGAGCGAGATACACGCTGGCGAAGGCGAGTCGCACGGTGGCATCGCCGAGACGTACGACAAGCTCTCGGCGCTGGCGACTTGGCCGGGCATGTACGGTGACGTGACGGACTTTGTAAACGGATGCCTCCGGTGCCAGTCGAGCAAACACGCTCGCCACACGACCCACGCCGAGCGGGGACGACTCCCAGTGTCCAGAGGTCCCATGGACATCCTCTCGATCGACCATGCCGTGCTTGGCAATGGAGTCGGTGGAACTGAGCGCGGCAACAACTGCATCCTCGTCGTCATGTGTACATTCACTCGGTACGTGTGGTGCATTCCGGTGGCCGACCGCACGGCAAGGACGACGGCTTACGTTCTGCACGATTTCATCTTCACGCCGTTTGGGACGCCGCGAGTTCTGACGTCGGACCGTGCTCAAGAATTCCTCAGTGATGTCGTCGACGCGCTATGCAAGATGTACAACGTGCAGCAGTGTCCAACGACGGCGTACCGACCACAAGCCAACTCATACGTCGAGCGAGCCAACCGCTGGATCAAGGAACGTTTGCGGGCACTCATGGAAGAAGGCGACGAATGGGATGAGCACGTTCCGGTCGTGACAAGTGCTTACAACCGCAGCATACACTCGGCTACCGGGTACTCCCCGTTCTTTGCGTTCTTTCTCCGCGAGCCGTTCTCTCCGCTTGCCCGCAGCTTGCAGCTCGGTCAACGACCAGAATACGTCAACTGCCAGGACTTCGTCGAGAACGTGCTCCCAGAAGCCCAACGAGTGGCAGACGACGTGCGTCAACGCAACACCGAGGCATGGGCGCTGAACAAGGCGTACTACGACAAGAAACACCGCGAGTGGCTTCGCGCCGGCGGTCCATCGCGTGGTGACTACAAGATCGGCAGCAAGGTCTGGCTCGCTGTGCCGGTGGCGCAAGACCGCAGCAACGCCACGGTGCCGGGGAAGTTGAGGTGCTCTTGGAAGGGGCCGTTCATCATTGTGTCTCGTACCGGCATGACGTACCGCCTCACCCGTCCAACCGGAGAAGTTCTCAAGAGCGCAGTGCATGCCGAGCGTCTACGACCGTACCGCGAGTACCAGGGCATCCGGCAGCGGGCGCCAAACGTCGAGGTGGAGCAAGGTGTCACAGACTGGCACGCTCCCTTGGACCTTGGGCACGATCGCAGTGACCCAATTGACCCAACGCCAAGGAATGCAACAGCACGGGCGCGACGCGACCCAGATCCGCCACCAGACGCAGCTCAAGCAACGCGCGTCGTCGGGTTTCGCCGACGCCCAGGGCCAGTCCTACGTAATGCATCACCCAAGCAGTGGCAAGTCGAGTTTCCGGACGGACGTCGCGCGTGGGTCGATGACTCTCAAGTCGACCGTGATCTCATCGACGAGCGCAACTTGCGCGATTATGACGCTGAAGACGAAGCCGTGGCGCTCATCGACGATGAGTGGACGGACAGCCGACTGCCATTCCGGCAGTAGGCAACACACAAAAAACACCAAGGACCAAGTCAATTGATTATCGAAGCGGCCGCGACGGGCCGCGACAACCCTACGCGCACGTCGAAGCGACACACGACCACTCAGCGGCCCTCCAGGCCAGGTCGCGCGGGCTCCTCGTGGCCTCAGGACAGGCGTCATGGCACCGACTTAATCCGGGGTGTCGGCGCTGGGTGAGGGCCACAAGTGGCGATGGTGAGGACACGTCGCCCGCATTTTCTTGCAAGGATGGCCGGCTTTCGTCGTGTATCCGCACGTGGAACGGACGGGAAGCGAAGCCGCCGGTGCCCCGGGCGCCACGTCGCGGTGCAGACCCGAAGCGCGGTACGGACACGACGACCGGTAGTTGGAGCAGCTGCCTCCATGTTTCGTCATGGCTTCACAACGCGGACGCAGCTCGGTCGGGCGGGAAGTCGTACCATGGGCAGCCTCTGCGCGCAACCGTTCAACTTCAGCGTCCTTCTCGGCAGCCGCGGAAGCAGCAGCAGCGCGGACCCGACTTGTCTCGTCTTGGGCCGCCATAACTTTGGCTCGCTGCGCCGCCAAGGCACGTTCTGACTCAGCCTGGACCTTCTCAACACGTTCGACGCACGCGGCTGTGTCCCGACGCCGGCCGTCTTCGACACTCTTGACTCGGTCGTCGTGGGCTGCGATAGTACGCTGCTGTTCGGCCATCTTGCGATAGGCCGCATCGAGCTCCGCGCGCATCCGCTGGAGCTGGGCAGCCAACGTCTCCGTCGGGCGGTCATCTTCCATGTCCTGGTATGTTTCAGCCTCATGAGCGTCCCGCAAGTCGTCGGCCGCGGTCGCTTGACGTTTGCCCGTGCGGGGCTTACGGTCGTACGCGGCCATGGTGCTCGTCTCGCGGTCTGCCGGGCAAGTTGAAGAATGGCAAAAAGAAGAACGAGCGACGGTTTCAGCTTCCGCGAACACTCGACGCGTTTCGGTTTTAGGCAGGCATCAATTCCCGCCTTGGGCAATGTGGTGAAGCGATCGTTCGACGGAAGAGTGCATGTCGAGCAGAATGTGTGTGTGGTCGGACGACGGCGCGTCAATGGGCCGAATGGCCCTGGTG